GGAATGAGCAGACCAACCTTTATCGCAACTGGCTTTCTTAATTATTACATGTACTTGCTCTGAAAACATAGCTTTTACAATTGTTTAAATTAACAGATGTTGTTCTATGTACAATGAATACATTTGAAATAATAAACCTTACTGTGTTAATAAAAAATTGTATTTGACAACATGAGAATGATTCTGATGCCCAGTGGTGATGTTGAAACAAATCCAGGTCTTGGTAATATACTAAGACCTGATTAACAAAGAAGTCATGTACATCAAGGTTCACTCGGATTTATGAATGCAGTTTCTTGAGCAAGTATACATGTATGACAAATAGTTTTGTTGCACTTGTGTACTCTGAGATTCTGAACATGGGTCAGTGGAAGTTTTTAGTTGTCAGTACAAAACTAGATCATCGGAAATCACTTTATGATGAGTTGTAACCACAAAGAGTACATATTTATTCACCTGTTTGCAGATGTTCCTTGTACAACTTTATAATCAAATAACGGGGACTGTGACATTTCATGTCTTGTTGAATGAGGAATGGATGAACAGATTTCTATATTTTAATAACATTACTCTTTTTTTTTTCATACCTGAAAATAAAAACAAATAATTTGACTTGAATTCAAAAAGTGTATTTGTATGTGTGACTAAGCTCATGTTCATGAGCAACCAGCACTGCCATTAGTGGGATCCCTGTTCATGTATATCTGTTATTGCTTGAGAGAATTGCACATTAATGATGGTATTTTTATTTTATTTTTAGAAACTTGGACATCCTCAACTTTGACAATATTATTGGATTCATACTCAACATGCCATCTCCTCTTCAATGGGGTCTGTTAAGTTTACCAATTAAACGAAAACACTGGGTCGCGGTACGAGAGTTGGATGGTGCCTTCTACAATTTAGATTCCAAGTTCAAAAGCCCTGACACCATTGGTGACAGGGAAGCCCTCAAGTCATTTTTCCGAGCTCAGACAAGAGTGAAAGAGTGTGAACTGTTATTGGTTGTGAGCAAAGAAATTGCTGATGTCAGGGGCTGGAAGTTTGAAAATGGGGTCTATGGTGGTGCTTGCGCATCCTGAAACAAACATCCATACATGTGGTCTTCAGTCTTTGTCGATGCACTTATAGCATGAATTGTTAGCTTATGTAACCCAACTAAGAAATGATGATGGGTATCTTTATAACCTTTTTTCATTAGAAGTAGAATATGGATTTGCAACTATGGCAAACATCAAAAGAATGATACAATCTTTATACATCAGGTCACCGATTTTCAAAATAGATGACACATCAAAAATAATTAAAACACAGTTGCAATTTCATGTTCTTCTTGTGTCCATACCTCAATTAATTAATTAATCAATTAATTTTCAATTAACAAAACAATTATCCACCTAATTCAGGTACACATTAGTAGTCTGTGTACCTTGAAACTGTTTTAAACTACTGGAGAAATAAGTCTTAATTTTTTCAACTGCCCATTTTCAAACCTTTCACCATTTTTGGTTTTATTTAGTTTTATTTTCTGTTTGAGTATTTATGACTAAACTGAATCAAGGTGTTTATGAACTATGGACTTAGTATTTTAAGATTAATCATGGATGAATGATGCACCAAAAACAAAATATATACATGGCTGGAACAAACTCCCTATGTCTAAATATCAACACCAAACAGATAAATGATTTCATAGAAAATGTAAAATTCTTGCCGCAGCTGTATAGTAGACCACACATACCGTATGTGACAGGTGTTTCACAATTACCGTACCCCTACTGTCATTTTGTAACAAGTTTTGTTTTCAACTTTGTCTAATGTCCTAAGCTATATTGATGTGTGTGATGCAATTTCCTGATAAAAAATCAGTCCAACCCCCATCCATCCGCACACACACATACACGTCTTACCGCCATTGTAACAACACACATTGAATTAACTTTTAATATAGTTGAATTAACTTTTAATATAGTTGCGATATGAACTTGATTAAAATTGGTTCCTATATAGGGTTGCGTTTTAATTGGAGTTTAATTAAACTGAATTACAATGCAATACAACAGAGAATTGTGTTTTAAATAAGTTTAATTAAATAAAAATTGAATATCCAGTGACTGAACATAGAAATGTTTGGGAAGCTTAGGTTTAGTAAAGGGGGAAGGTATGGTACAATTATATTAATATAAATTATGAAAATATTGAGGGTTGTCACAATGTAGGTCCTGTCGTCACAAGTCGGTGTAAAGTTAAAATGAAGACACAACATTGTTTACCACACATGCACACCCCCCCCCCCCACACACACACACACAACAATATACTCCAACCTTCAGTGCATATGTTGGAACTATATTCTCAGATTCCATATATTCCTGTTTTGTTCTGATACCCAAGACATATTGACTTTTTCCCTTCATATGGCCTGTGATTTCTTGTATAATCTTCACATTACAAATATTGTCTAGACATCTCGAAAGCAGTTGTAGATATGAAACAGCAAAACCATCTGAACACATCGTCACCATCAGAACACATCGTCACCATCAGAACACATCGTCACCATCAGAATACATCGTCACCATCTGAACACACCATCACCATCAGAACACATCGTCACCATCAGAACACATCGTCACCATCAGAACACATCGTCACCATCAGAACACATCGTCACCATCAGAACACATCGTCACCATCAGAACACATCGTCACCATCAGAACACATCGTCACCATCAGAACACATCGTCACCATCAGAACACATCGTCACCATCAGAACACATCGTCACCATCAGAATACATCGTCACCATCTGAACACACCGTCACCATCAGAACACATCGTCACCATCAGAACACATCGTCACCATCAGAACACATCGTCACCATCAGAACACATCGTCACCATCAGAACACATCGTCACCATCAGAACACATCGTCACCATCAGAACACATCGTCACCATCAGAACACATCGTCACCATCAGAACACACCATCACCATCTGAACACATCGTCACCATCAGAATACATCGTCACCATCTGAACTCACCATCACCCTGTAGCCTGGAAGTCACTGTACTTAAATTTGATGTCTATTATCAGAATTTTATATTGTTTGAAACATAGAGGTTGTATTACAAGTATTTAAATTTATAATTCATTTTTGTTGTAGCTATGTTATAAGATGTGTTGGTGAAAATTATTCAACTATAAATGCTTTCTGTTGTCAGTTGGGAACATTACTGTAAAAAAAGTCACTGTTTAATGTGACAAATGTACCAGAAAACATTCTGGTATTTTCACAAATACAATACAAAATAAGATTCATGTTTTAAAATAAGTAAACTTTTGAAATTTAGTAATAAAATCTTGTTACTATATACTAGACTGTCGGCCATACCTCAGGCCTAATTTGTTTATTTTCTGCTCAAATTGTGATTGGCAAACATTTTCGAAATGCAATAGACATTACAACCCCCGCCTGAAATGCATTTCACAAAAAACCTGCAAACATATAATTTTGTCAAAAAATCAACAAATTAGGGTGAAAAACTGTCAAGTCTATGCAATAGCAATGGATGTCATAATTATGGGTCTAAATTATGGGTATTGAGGTCCCATCAACTGCATATTTACTAAATTTTTAATACTTTTTAATCCATGTGTAGTACTTAACCGTTGTGGCAACACATGAATGTACACTAAATATATGTTGGGATATTCATATAGTTATCTGGCAGATCATAATCCATTCCACTATTTGACCTGCCATGTGACCTGTGTTTACTCATTTAGTGAAATATTGATCATTTTGTCACAGTTAGTATCACATGAATAAACCATTTCCTGTTCACTGCGAGAATCACGGATTATGCGTGAAATTGAACGTAAAAACAGGACAAACAAAGGTCATAGCGTCGTAGTAGCATCAAACATCGCCTGGAATTCGACAAGCGCGTAAATATTTTGGGGACATTTCCATGCTTAATAATGTACTGTACACATTTGATGATAGACAATTTCGATTAAGTGAGGGTATTCAAAAGCAATATTTCTCTGTTGAAGATCGGCTGGTTGATGTGTGCTACGAAATAAAGAAATTTGAGTTCAAAATCAAATCGTTCGATTTTTGCGGCAGACGTTCGGCGCGCATCTTTCATGCAACTTATGAGATCTCGCAGTTGAACGGAATATCGCCTATTAATGCTAAGGCTAAAAAATTACAGTAGGTGAAAGATACTCGCTCACCATTGTGTGTGAACAGTTGTTCAGTTTTCATTACTTGTTCAAACTTATACTGTGGACTTTTATAAAACGTTTTATACCTAAAAACACTGATATTTTGTGCGGAGATTTAGTTTTTGATATTGAAAACTATATACCTATTAAATATACTATATATATCTATTCTGTCTGATTACTCAGACGTAGACATAGGCTCCAGTTGTTGTCATCAAACATGTGAACAATCACCTAATATGCAAATCATAGGATGACCAGCCAATGTGAGCTTTTGTTACTGACCACTCTCCAGGGAGACGCATGCTTTCGTCAGTGAACTAGAGAGCTGTGTCAGTGCTATTTGCAATCATTTGGACAGATGCTATTTAAGGTGACCAAAATTAAGTGACAAGAGCTTTTAACAGTTTTATTCAGATTATGTCTTTCTTCTTCATATGTGAAATGGAAATTATGCACTATGGTGATCAGAACCAGATTACACAAGTTTGGATGTTCAATGCTTGTAACATCAATACAAGAATACGTATACTATACTGGTGACCAGAACCAGCGTGCCATCTGATTTTTGTAGACAATGTTTTTATAGTTACATTCATTGAAAAAATGTACAGATGTACAAGAAACCAGATTTCATTGTAATAGTTTTATTTATTTCCACAATGCTGAAATGTTCATTTTACTCTGTACTATAACATGAATTTTTCCGGTTTTTGAGGTTGAAACATGTATTTTATTCTCAGTAAAATCAGGCTGATCGCATTTTCAGATTCTGACCAGTTAATTGTAATGGGAATGAGTCACTGTTGAAACCACTGTAAATTTGCACATTATTAATACTCAATAAGAGATATTAATTCAATGCTGATCACGTAATATGAGGCTATTAACAAATTACCAGAATTTATTTATTTATTTTAACAGCTAATGTAAAAATCCATGACTCCTAGAATATGATTTCCTGTGACATAAATAATGGTATTTTGTTAATAACCTTATTACACAATTTTTTTAACAGACGTTGTAAAAATATCCCTTTCCTAGTTTGTCTCCATTGGGGTGCTGTCAGTGAAGCATGCAAAATTTTTACAATTGAATACGCTAAGTCAGCTGACACGAATCCTGAGCGTTTGTTTCATACACAATTAGAGCATGGCTGTAACAGCTCTTAGGCTTTCATAAATGCTGGAAACATTGACACATGTACATGTAATATTGTAAATTTGCAAAATTATTGGACTTCAAATTCTAATTTGAATAGTTATTGGACACTAATAGTGGTAAATGGATGTTTAGACCCACGAATTTCAGCAAACTTTATTAGGAATTTATAATTGTTCAATGGATATTTTAAAATCAAAGTTAAATAGTGGCAATTAATTGTATAAACGACACATTTGTGATTTATCTAAACCTACTTAAATTGCCAACTGAACAGAAGTCATTACATGGATTTAAAAATATGAAGAAGATCAATATGCAGTATGCAGCAAATAATATAGTCAGTTTATAGCTTTGTATTCTAGTTACCATAATCTGACATTCATGTAATTGGTCTCTCACCTGAGCCACTCTGTAGATGAAGATCAAAAAAATTAAGACAACAAATACAGAGCAATTTGAAAAAACAAACTGTTATTGGCAATATATTCAATTTTTCTTTTCAACAGTTAGGATTGTAAAGAAAATAAAATGAATATTTTGAAAACCTGTGTTATCCTTGTTGAGAAAACGGCCAATTATTGTACCATGATTTTGTGGTGGTGTAAAAGATTTGAAATCCTAAAGGCCATGCGACTTTCCAAATTAAATGAGCAATTATTTGTTGCGTGTATCCATGAACAAATACAGACTAGGATCATCTTGTGGCGATACATTCATTTTACGTCTT